GAGAAGGAGTTATTTTTCTAATTTAGACGCAGAAGGCACGCGCACTCGCCTCTTTAGCAGTCAAAAAATCACTTGGACATTAATCCCGCCTGTACTTTAAAAAAAATTTCCTCACAATCCTTGTCAAACTAACTTTTACAGAAGAGTTATTAACAGAATTTTTTTGTCTCGCAAAAGATCCTTCGATGCACCTTCTTTGTCAAATTTCAGCGCGAATTCACAAGGTGTTGATTCAAAAACTACATATCTTGGTGTCAGTTTGTTTTCGATTTTTTTGACGGAGTAGTTTCATAATGAAAACACTTATCGAGTGCAAAGCTATGCAATAATTTTTAGGCTCGTTGCTTTGCAGGTTTTGACCTTGAATGAAAAAGAGTTCGGACGGCCAAATAAAATGTGGAAAAAAGGCCGAAAATTAAAAAAAACATTGACGACTAGTGGAAAAAAAACCATGTTTTGATAATTTTTAGCTTGAGATGAGTAAAATAATCTATTAAACTTCATGTCACGCTTTCAGCTGCAATGAAAAAAAAACAAAAAAACAAAGTAAAATGACCAGTGGTGGAAAAAAAACGCCAAACTTTCAGACATTCAAGTTAAAATTTGAGAACCAAAATACTTTTATTTACAATACTGTTTAGGCAATCTACCATTTCTTCGTCACATGTCGTTTTCTGAGCTTATTTTTTTTGTCCCAACAGCCTATAAGAATTAGAATATGGCTGCATTCTTTTTTGAATTGTAAGGTTAGGTTTTTCTTACAAAGTTTCCGGGAAGAAAGAGAAAACATAATTTCTACCTTTTGCAAATTTCGTAATATCAGAGTTGTCTGCAGCTAGCAGACTAGCAAGTACTTTGATGTTTTCTCAAATTTGACCCAAAGTCGCTTTTATTACGACTCTTACAATAGTTATATAATAAACCTTTTTTATCTTAATTTTGAACCTTTTTTTGTTCTTTTCTTTACCTCACATATACAAAGAGATTTAAAAAACTAAGAAAATTGAACCACTTTGGCATAAAAAATTTTGAGTAGGTAAAAAGATAATTTCAAAATTTTGAAATAATTTCAATATGGAATAATTTGCCTAGAATGAACGTGTTTTAATTTTTGTAGAAACAACCAAGGTAAGTAAAAGAATCGACATCAAAGCATTCAGGATTTAAAATAAAACATATTTAACATGATTGTGCCTCGGTCAAAACTGTAAAAGATAACGTTTCGAATGAAGTAACATTAAAAAACAAGTTCACAACAATAGTTTAAAAAAGTTTAAAACTTCATTATCAATTGTTTTGAGATTAAATGTGGGCTTTTGAACACTTTGATATGTCCTGAGTTGCTTCATTGCTAAAATCATAGACAGATAAAAGTGTTTTTAAAAGCAACTGAAAGTAGTTTTAGTTCAAATTATGGTGTACAGTTCAAACTTTTTTAATAGTCAGATATTTTTTTCTGTCCTGTAAAATGCCAGTATGATTTGGCGCGCACTAACATCCTCGTCCTCCATAGAAGTGAGGTCGAGTCCACATTTCAGGATTGGATGAAAATATTCACCGGTTGGCGATCGTTAAACGATAGAATGCGCTACTTCATTGTTACCGTAAGCCAACAATTGAACGGAGCTATCGCGTTTTAGCCTTTTTTACTCATTTGCTTAGCCTTGCTCTGAAATCTTTAGCTTATGAGTACAGATGACATTTGCATAGGACTGTGCTCGTGCGAAGATCCTGCATAGGTTGAAATTTTAGCCGAAAATTAGAAGGGAAAGCCACTTGCATAGTGTCCAAATCGAGAAGACTTGGCGTGCACGCTCCAAAATGAATCGGATCGGAGGATACGGATGTGGTCGTACGATTGATGAAAGACTGCTGGAGGGAACAAAAAAAAGATATTAGAAGTCTATCAGCATGCTTTCGATTTCGAAAACTCTTTTGATGCTCGGGGTAAGATTTACTCAGACGCTTCCGAATGGCATTGTAGGAGTTTTTTTTAATTTTCGGATAAGCCATTTATGAGACAACAGTCTAGTTGCAAGATTATTCCAATTTTCGATGCACAACTACAGCTGTTTGGCCGAGCCAACAAACTTCGTTCCGTTCTCTGATCACCTGACGAAAAACATTTCTTGCCGAGCGTGGATTGATCACAGGTGATGAATAAGTTTGTCTCACCCGTCATTAAGAAAGGGCAATAGTTTTTTGAACTTGTCAAAACAACTTATTCCGCAGTATGCAAATAACGGCTGACGATAACGCCGATGTTCTAATGAAAATTCAACCGCCAAAGGCTGAGAAGTTTTGGTTTTATGTTTTCGATGCATAGTTTAAACGTGCTCCATTGAACGGAGGGTGGTACGAAGCCCCAAAACAAAAAAATTACTTGAATAGTGGTACCCAGGCAATCAGAATGTTGGTGAAAATATAAAGATCATCGCATCATTTCAAAACTGAGACTCGCAGGACGGCTAAAACCAAATTGGACTATTCAATTTAAGTGAAGGGTTTTGCCATCGCCATACCTCGTTTGTTTTCAAGAACAGTGCGTTAAGGTTTAACGTTTCCTTCTATTGTTTAGTTTTCAAATTATTTTTGAAAAATGTATCCAAAACTAACTAAGCTTTCTTTAAAATTGGCTTTGAAAACACTTCAGTTTTTTTTTAGGTTTTTGCTCCTTTTGTTTCAAATTATGGTAACAAAAGGCTCAGCGTTAAGGTCGATTTTGGTTCGGTTAACACACAAAATCCTTGAACAAAAGTTTACTGCATTAAACAGCTCCTTTCCAGTTCCCCCTTTTGATTTTTTCTGAAATTCACATTAAAAGAAAGTCTCTTTAAAATTTTTTTTTTATATTAAAAACTGCATTCAAACGTGTCAGCGTGAACAGGTGAAAAAATTTTCACAACATTTATAACATGCAAAGTTCCGCGTGAAAATTTTTGAGCAGTTTTTTTGCTATTTCACGAGGGGGGTGGGAAAATGGAAAAAACTCTTTAAACACCCTAATTAAGTTCTTGTTCTTACAGGTAGCTTTTTTCAGCTGATTCTTTGTTAATCATTAAAAATTGACCTAACTATTTTGCATTATTTTTTGATAAATCAGCCTTATAATTTTTCAAAAGATTTACATCAGTTCATTTTCAACTTTTTTGTGTTTTATTTTAGAAATACTGGAAACCAACAAAAAAAGTCTAGCTTGTGACTTCAAACTGATGGCAGTAACTGAGTTTGAACTGTTGGCAGTAATTGAGATTAAACAGTTGGCACTAAATGAGGTTGAATTTTTGGAAAACCTTGCTGATGACCCACACAAAACTAGCTCTTATTTCAAGACTTATCTCTATATGCTACTGGAATCCACAAATAAAAGCGGATTTTGCTTGCGTTTTGGGAATTCCGTTTACAATTTGCGGATTCCACTTACAATTCACAGATTCTGCTTGCAATTACAAATTCTGTGTCAGTGAAGTTTGAATTTACACATAATTTATTATTTCATTGTTGATGCCACAAACGGTTTTGGGTTCCGCAAAAATTTTGCTGATACAGCAAACTTGGTTTTTTTTTTTAGAAATTTGCAATGACATTGTGTTTTAGCTAATTGATCGTGGAATCCAAAACAACAAAAAAAATTGAAAAAAAACTAGCAATGACGTGGATTCTGCGACAAATCTGTTTTTGTCCTTTTAAGGAGTCCGTTGACGTTTCAAAAAACACACGGTTTGGCCTCGTAATGTTGAAAAAATTTGGAACAAAATTTTTTTTTTCAGTCTTTTTTCGAACAAAAAAATTTTTGTCCAACTTAACTATTTGGCTTTTTACACTCCCTCCTCTTATTTAAGAAATATCTTATAAGTTATCATAATATAATCAAACTCTGCATGGTGAAATAACTAACTATTGTGTTAACTTTTAATCTTCGTACCTTACATCGTAACATCACGCATTCAATTATAACACGTGCAACAACTGAGAAATATATGCAATGTGAGGGAAAGGTTTTAATATAATATGTGGGGCCAGTTTTAATATGAACATTGAGTTTGCTACAGTTCTAAGTTTTTGTTTTCTTTTGTC